CCCCGACGGCACGTGCGATGGGACCCGGGCGTGCAAGAGGGCCTGCGGGTGCCCCGGCCCCCCCGATGGCACGTGAGTGTGCGACGGGACCTGAGCGTGCAAGAGTATCTGGGAGCGCCCCAGCCCTCCCGACGTCATGTGAGTGTGCAACAGCACATGCGACGGGACTTGAGCGTGCAAGAGCGCCTGGGAGTGCCCCAGCCCTCCCGACATCATGTGAGCATGTGACAGCACATGCAAAGGGACCTGAGCGTGCAAGAGCACCTGGGAGTGCCCCAGCCCTCCCGACGTCATGTGAGTGTGCAACAGCACATGCGACGGGACTTGAGCGTGCAAGAGCAGCGGCAGCGGGACCCGGGCGTGCAAGAGTGCCTGGGAGCGCCCCGGCTCTCCCAACAGCACGTGAGTGTGTGACAGCACGTGCAACAGGATTCGAGCATGCAAGAGCAGCAGTGGCGGGACCTGGGTGTGCAAGAGCGCCTGGGAGCGCCCCAGCCCTCCCGACGTCATGTGAGTGTGCAACATCATGTGCAACGGGACTCGAGCGTGCAAGAGCAGCTGCGACAGCACATGCGACTGGACTTGGACGTGCAAGAGCTCCTGGGACCACCCCGGCCACCCTGACAGCATGTGAGCGTGCAACAGCACATGCAAAAGGATTTGAGCGTGTAAGAGCACCTGCGGCAGCATGTGCAACGGGACTTGGGCGTGCAAGAGCGCCTGGGAGCACCCCAGCTTTCCCGACAGCATGTGAGCATGTGACAGCACGTACAATGGGACTTGAGTGTGCAAGAGCATCTGCGATGGGACATGAGCGTGCAACGGCACGTGCCACCGGACTTGGGCGTGCAAGAGCACATGGGAGTGTCCTGTCCCTTGTGACACGACATGAGTGTGCAACAGGACCTGTGGCAGGACGTGGGCGTGCAACGAGATGTAGACGCGCAATGGGGCTTGGGCGTACAACAGGACATGGAGGTGCAACAAGACGTGCAATGGGATGTGGGCATGCAACAGGACTTGAGTGTGCAACAGGACCTGCAACGGGACGTGGGCGTGCAATAACATCTGCAACAGGACGTGAGCGTGCAACAGCACTTACAACGGGACTTGAGCGTGCAATGGGATGTATACGTGCAACAGAACTTGGGTCTGCACCAGGACATGGGCGTGCAACAGGAACTGGGCGTGCAACATCATCTGCAACAGGACGTGGGCATGCAGTGAGATGCATACGTGCAGCCATGCTTGGGCGTGCAACAAGGTCTGCGACAGGACGTGCATCAGGACATAGGTGTGCAACAGGAGCTGAGCGTGCAACAGGACACGGGCGTGCAACAAGATGTGTGACACATCAGGGGCGGGCGAAGGGATTTGGGCGTGCAACAGCATCTGCAACGGGACATGCAACAAGACACCGGCGTGCAACAGGACATGAGTGTGCAACAGCACATCATGCGGGACTTGGGCGTGCAGTGCGATGTAGACGTGCAAGGGGACTTGGGCGTGCAACAGGATCTGCGGCTGGACATGGGCGTGCAACGGGACTTGGGCGTGCAATGAGATGTATACGTGCAAGGGGGCTTGGGCGTGCGACAGGATCTGCGGCAGGAGACGGGCGTGCAACAGGAGACGGGCGTGCAACATCATCTGCAACAG